CACACTCTTTTCCTCTTAAAAAAAAAAAGAAATCTATCTGATGTACTTAATAGCGTTTTCCAAGTCCTTAACTGGTTTATTAATTGACAAATACGTCCTAGAATATGATCCTTGGCAGTAGACATGGAAATCAGCATGCGTGCATGTGTGTGTGTGTGTGTTTGTGTGAGAGAGAGAGAGAGAGCGCGCGCGCGCACAAACGGGAGCAACAAGCAGAGGGAGGAGAAGCAGACACCCTGGTGAACAAGGAGCCCAGTATGGGGCTCGATCCCAGGACCCTGAGATCATGACCTGAGCCGAAAGCAGAGGCTTAACCCACTGAGCCACCCAGATGGCCCTGGAAATCAGTTGGGTGTATTTGGGTTTTGCTTTCCAAATGCAGAAAGTAAGGTAGATGCTCTCTGAGGCACTCTGTGGGGAAATCAGCTGCAATGGGGAGGTTTGGCTCCTGTGAGCAGACATCTCAGCACAGGGCCAGCAAGCCTGGGGTGACAGGCCCCTCTAGGTCCAGACACACTCACATACCTCCCCTAGGTGTGGCGCTCCTTGCCAACGCCCCTGAGCGAGTTGTTGAGCGGCGCCGACGGCCCCGAGACAGTCCTGTCCTCAGTAGCAGCGGCGGCCGGGCCCCGTCCAGGGCAGCCAAGCAGAGGTCAGGGCTCCCGCCCCCCGAGGAGCAGTTGGCCTCTCAGCGGGTGAGTCACAGGAGGTGGGGGTTACTGGCCCCCTTTGGTGGCCAGGTCTCACCCCTGCTGCCTGTGCCGCAGGACCGCCTGAGCCAGGTGCTGCGGGAACTCGAGGATGAGAGCACGCCCATCGTGAAGCTGGGGGATGCCAGCATCGCTGCCCCTTTCACCTCTAAACTCTCCTCCATCCAGTGCAGTGAGTCCCCCCACCCCGGTCCCTCCCCCAGGCCCATCCTGATGTGCCCCCACGCCCACACCTTCCTCCCCTCCCATGCCCCCGCTGCAGTCTGCCACGTGATCAAGCAGGGCCGCTGCACACTGGTGACCACGCTGCAGATGTTCAAGATCCTGGCACTCAATGCCCTCATCTTGGCCTATAGCCAGAGTGTTCTCTACCTGGAGGGTGTCAAGTTCAGTGACTTCCAGGCCACGCTGCAGGGGCTGCTGCTGGCCGGCTGCTTCCTCTTCATCTCCCGCTCCAAGGTGGGCTGAGGCACAGGCAAAGCAGGGGTTCCCTCCCCAGACCAAGAATACCCTCTGCCTCTTTGGGCCGGCTAGGGAAGACGGTTAAAGGCACCACCACGTGTCACCCGTTTGTCTTCCCAGCCATCCTCAGGGTGGGAATTGTAATCCCGCATGTTACAGATGGGGATCAGGGGACAGGCCAGGTGCACGCCGAAGCTCCCCAGAATGACACGACTTGGCCCCCAGCACTGTCCACCAGCTGGGGCCTCAGGTGGGCTACACAGAGCCTACAGGCAGATAGGACAGATGGGGAGATGATTATCAAGACCACTCAGAAAGCATTCAGTGTCAGTGGAAATACAAAGTGGGTCACAGGCTACAGGGGTCAGCCTCGGGATCATTCAGGGGAGCCTTTGTGATGCCCGAAGAGCTAGGTAAATTTCTAGGAAGGAGGCAGAAAGGGCATAGATAGGGGTGGGCTGATGCAAGAAGCATGCAGGGGCTGGAGGAGGTGGGAGGTGGGTTGTGTTAACCATGAACACCCACTGGGTCCCAGGGAGGGCTTTGGTTTGTTCTAGAACAAGGGGAGGGGGATGGATTTTAAGCACCCTGTGGCTGCTGTGTGGAGTGTAGGTCTTCAGTGAGGGTGTGGTGGGATCCCAGCTAAGGGGCTGGGGAACCAGCAGGGCCCTGGGGTCTGGTGCTGACTTGTAACCTCCAGGATTTGGTGACTGCTCTCTACATGAGTCTGGCTAGGAGGCTGGGAGTGGCAGGTGGGTAGGCCCAGGGTGAGCCTGGACCCTGAGCCGCCCCCACCCTGCCACTGCAGCCCCTCAAGACTCTCTCCCGAGAGCGGCCTCTGCCCAACATTTTCAACCTGTACACTGTCCTCACGGTCGTGCTCCAGTTCTGTGTGCACTTCCTGAGTCTTGTCTACCTGTACAGCGAGGCCCAGGCCCGGAGTCCTGAGAAGTGAGTGCTGTCCTGGCCCAGGCCTTGGGGTGGGGCAGGGTGCTCCTAGGGGCGGCAGTGTCCCGATGGTGGTGGGTACAGGAAGGCGAGCACGCAGATGTGGCCTGACCGGAGGGGTCGGCCAGGCTGAGACCTGGCTTTGTGCAGGGATGGTGCGGGTCAGAGAGTGACCCTGTCCCCTCTGTGTTGCTGCAGGCAGGAGCAGTTTGTGGACCTGTACAAGGAGTTTGAGCCGAGCCTGGTCAACAGCACCGTGTACATCATGGCTATGGCCATGCAGATGGCCACCTTTGCCATCAACTACAAAGTGAGGCCCCGCCCCTGGCGAGTTCGCCCTGCCCACTTTTGGGTGCCTATAGCACATGACTGTCCATCTGTCTTTCCCCACAGGGTCCACCGTTCATGGAGAGCCTGCCGGAGAACAGGCCCCTAGTGTGGAGCCTGGCTGTGTCACTCCTGGCAATCGTGGGCCTGCTGCTTGGCTCCTCGCCTGACTTCAACAGTCAGTTTGGCCTCGTGGACATCCCTGTGGAGGTGAGTGGCCCCGTGGGTGTGGCCCCAGGGCTCAACCTGGGCCTGTCCGCGGGCACCCAGCTCACCAGTGCTCTTTACCCCGCAGTTCAAGCTGGTCATCGCCCAGGTCCTGCTTCTGGACTTCTGCCTGGCGCTCCTGGCCGACCGTGTCCTGCAGTTCTTCCTGGGGACCCCGAAGCTGAAAGTGCCTTCCTGAGATGGCAGTGCTGGCACTTGCTGCCTGTGTTAGTGCCGCCGGGCAGGAGCCCCAAGAGGGAACACTGCCCCCATGGTGAGGTGGGCCCGGCCTTGCCACCAGGACAGACCAGAGCTGGGACCGCCCCACAGCCACCTGAAGGCCTGGCTGGCAGAATCAGCCCTGATCCGGCCCCTTTGGTAAATAAAGCCGCATCCACCATTTTAAGAAGCCCTGCCTCCACCTGTGTCTGCACTACTGGAGGGGTTGCGGTCCTGGCCCCCTCCCTGGGAGCCACGAGGTCATTAACAACAACCCCTGCCGTCCGGATATTCAGTGCTTAGATGGGCTGAGCTCCAACCCCAGAGGGTTGTGATATTTCCTAATTTGACAAGCGCCTCCCTACATCTGTGGTGTTTCAGCTTCATCTTCTCTTCTCTTAGGCACTGGTGGAAAGTTTTAGGATCAGTGGCATTTTCTTCTCTTCAGTAATATGTGAAATAACAGCACTCCTTCCTCTCACGTGTGTTAGATGTGAGGAAGTTCAGTTCAAATTGTTGCAGATGCTACTACCTCTGGTCACGTTTGCCCGGAGGGCACCATTCATCATCTGTCCGCCCAGCTTTGCAGCCCGGCTCCGCCCTTGTACCGACACCATCCTTCCTTTCAGAGGGCACGCACTCATTGCATCTCAGGAATTGTGAAGTAGGCAGCATGAAAGCAGAGTCATGGCTGTGGGAGATGTCCTGCCTTCTCAACAGCTAAGAACTTTAGAAAGTCAAGTTATAAACCTGTTTCTATTTATTTACTTACTTATTTATTTAGAGAGAGATAATGGGTAGGGGTAGGAGTATGGGTGGGAGAAGGAGAGAGCCTGAAGTGGGCCTCGATCCTAGGACACCGGGATCATGACTTGAACCGAAGGCGGATGCTTAACCGAGTGATTAACCGGGTACCCAGTAAATCTGTCTTTATTTCAAACTAGGAGTTCCACTAGGGGTATGGATGCATTTTTATGACTTGGACAAGCTGCGTGTGAGAATATGAGGCCTGGTATCCAGGCCCGGGCTTGAAGACAAACTGCCTCACCACCCTCACCCCCTCACCCTGAGGGGCTCACCACCCTTTCCCATCTTCACTCCTTGGTCATCCTCAGCAGTCTGTCCCTGTCCAGCTTCCCTATCAGGAGGACTGTATCCCATGGAAAGCCCTGGGTTCCAAAGCAGGAAAAGGGCAGGGACCATCAGTGAATGACTGTGATTATCACATGGGCCGTGAGCACAGACCAAGGTGTATGGAAATGTAAGGGTGCTGGAACCCACCAGGCAGAGGGACTATTGTGATCACTTGGAATCCCTGAGATAATTTGAGCCAACTGGGAGGCAAGAACTCTGAACTTGGGATTTGTTTGCTGGGAATGATTCTTGGGGTGCTCAGGGTGGAGATCTGTGACCCCCGTTCCTGAGAGAGGTGCTAGGGGCACTTCTGGCTGTACTGTAATGAGGGGCTTCAAGAGTCTGATCCAGTTTCCAAAGTCACTGGGGTTGCCCTAGAGCACTGGGGGAACTTAAGATCCCACTGGAATAAGGCCTGCCATCAGGCCTCTCCACCAGGGGGCACCATGGACCCAGTGGAGCCAATATGGGTTCAGGATGCAAGAAGCCCCTGGGCAGGGAAGTCGCTACGTCGCGGAGGATAGAAGATACAGGGATAGGCGCCCCGGACATGAGTGTGCTGGGGCTTTAGAGCCGCGCAAAGATTTGGCGGGGATGGAGCCATGGGGTGTCCAGGTCTGGGATGATCACACTGGAATCTCTGGTCCCACAGCATCTCCCCCTGTCTGTGCAGGGCGCGCGGTACGCGCTTCCGGGCCTCTGGGGCGTGGCCAATCGGCGGAGGTGTAGCTGGGGGCGGTGCCTCTGCTGAGCAGGGGCGTGTTCGGTCGCGGGGCGTCGCTCCGCTGGGCGGGGCTACGCGGAACCCGGGTGGCGGTGGCGGTGGCGGTGGCGGCGGCGGCGGCCGCGGCAGGAAATCGGGGCAGAGCCCCGCCGGCGCGAGATCCCGCCCCAGTCCCGGACCCCGCCGAGAGATCCTCGGGCCCGGCCATGGACGCAGCAGAGCCGGGTAGGCGGTCCGGGATATGGGATGCGAGAGGGACCTCCCCCAACCGTACCCCACTTCCTAAATTGAGTGGTCTCGCCTGCCCTTTCCGTCCAGAGAACGGGGAAAGGAGTCCCAAACGGGAGGGACGCCAGCATCCTCCACTGTGGGGACCCCCAAGCCGAGAGGGGCCCAGAACATCATTCCCTGACCCCCTCCCCCTTTGGAGTCTTCACCCCGGATGCCTGGGGGAGGGGGCCCAGGAAGGGGAAGTGGCCGCTTCTGCTTCTGATATTTGTGATGGGGGCAGGGTGTCACGATCGCTGATGGAGAGGCCGACGCGGCAGAATCTCCACCCGGCTCCTCCATAATCAGGGGAGGGGGCATTGCTGATCTGGAGCCCACAGAAGGGGGGCTGTGGCAGAAGTGTGGCAAGGTCTGACTTGTATTTCCGGCTGTCTTTGTGTCTCTGCTGTGCATGTCTAGTGTCATTCGGTCTTTATGTTCCTCTGGTTTCATTCTGCCCATATGCGTTTGTGCCACAGGCTCTGTGCCGATCTCTCCCACGTGTATTTCCATCTGTCTGGCCTGAGGTCCATGTGGTTCCATTGTCAAGCTGGCTCTCTCCCCAGGGACAGTGTGGCTGCATCTGGGGCATCTGTTTTGTCTCTTTGCTTCTGGGCCCATGTGTGTGTGGGTGTCTCTGTTCCTCCGAGCAGCTGTCCCAGTGCTGGGTTGTGCCTGAGTCCATCTGCCTGCCCCGAGTTGGCTTCACCTCAGGCAACACTGCCTCAGTCCTGACTCTGACATCAGCCCCCATCCCGGACTCTCTACAGGTCCAGAACACTCTCTGTCTCTCTCTTCCCAACCTCCAAACAGCTGGCTAAGAGCCATGGTGTCGGGGCCTCCGTGGGTGGAGGGAGGCTTTGATTGGCCCATGTATGACACTCCCCTCCCCCAGGGCTACCCCCGGCTCCAGAGAGCAGGAAGAGGTACAGTGACATCTTCCGGAGCCTGGATAACCTCGAGATCTCCCTGGGGAACGTGTGAGTCTGAGCCTGGGCCAGCCCCAAATCCCTAACCATTTAGGTGCATTAGGAACCTATAACATCTGGATCCACTTACCTAACAACCAGAGAAGTCTAAGATGAGTCCTTGCAAAACACCTGGAAAATCCCAAAATTCAGCCCCCAAATCCACTGGAAATTCCCAAAATGGTTCTAGGACCCCCATATATCCTTGTGACCACTTAAAACATTTGAGATCCTTATAATCTCACTCTGTGGACCCCAGATTCACCTGGGACCTTTCAAACTCAAGTCCCATTTAGAAAAAAAAAGGAAAGAAAACAAACTCATTTAATCCCCGCCCCCCCGCAGTACCACTCAGACCTCCCAGATACAAGAGATGTCCCAGAGGTGAAATCCAGGACCATCACTCACACTGCTCTGGGCGCCCCCCAACAACCCCTAGGCAATTCCCACTGGGTGGAGGGTGGCATCCTGACGCCCTTACCTCCCAGGACCCTTGAGATGCTGCCTGGAGACCCCGTGCTCTCAGGAGACCCAGAGTCTGACAAGACCCCCACAGCCAATGAGGTGAAGGGTGGGACCAAGGAGGCAGGGAGGAGGGTGTCTCCAGGGGGAGGGGCTCTAGGGGGTTGAAGCCCCTCCCCCGCTTGCTCCTGAATGCTGTCTCCCTCCCCCTCAGACCAGTGAAACCAGCCTTTGGAGTCGCCCCTCCACGGAGGGTCCGGCGCCCTTTACAGGTAGGGGACTTTGAGGTTGGGGAAGTGGGGGCAGAAAGGAGTCCTTCCTTCAGCTAGTCATCAGCCCCTGCCTGTTCCACACACCAGGGACACGGCAGTATACACAACAGAGCTGAGCCCCTGCCCTCAGGGAGCCCCAGGCTCGGTGGAGAAAAGGTATAAAATTGCAACTGGACAAGATCATAAAGGGCTGTTTTGGGGAGCCATAGGGTGTAGAATAGGGGTCACTGGTCTGGTCAGTCTTGGGGCTCAGGGAAAGCTGCCACAGGTCAGGGTTCAGAGGTCAGAAGTCCAACCTCCTGCCCCAGGGGAGGAGCTGGACTTGCGGCTCATTCGGACCACTGGCGGCGTGGATGCAGCTCTGGAGTATGCCAAGACCTGGAGCCGCTATGCCAAGGAGCTGTTGGCCTGGACAGAGAAGAGAGCCAGCCTTGGTGAGGGCCCCTTCTGCCCGACCCCAGGCCCCAGGCAGTGCCCACATCCTGCCCAACTCAGACCCCTGCTGTCTCCCCCCCAGAGCTGGAGTTTGCCAAAAGCATCATGAAGATCGCCGAGGCTGGCAAGGTGTCAATCCACCAGCAGGTAGCCATGACCAGACCCCTGCCCCAGGGTCTGAGCCCTCCAGAACCCCAGCCCTGACCCCCTAGATCCTCAGCATCCTCCAATGCCAACCCTCCCCCCACCCCCACCCCCTCAGAACCACATGCCACTGCAGTACATCTACACCCTGTTTCTGGAACACGACCTCAGCCTGGGAGCCCTGGCCATGGAAACAGTGGCCCAGCAGAAAAGAGATTACTACCAGGTGAGGGGGCCTTGCTGCCCTAACTATCCCATTCATACCTCCCCAGGGGGAAGGCACTTAGCATCAGTGCCATTTTGCTGATGAGGAAGCTGAGGCCCAGGGATGCTGAGGAACTTGCCCAAGGTTACCCAGCAGAGATTCAAACCAGGCTTCCTGTGCAATTGCAAAACTGCTTCTGTTCCTTTGCAGGGTTTGGGGGGGTGGTGAGGGGGGATGGGGCAAAGCGTTGAGTGTTCCCAGGAAGAGAGCTTTGGCATCTCTGGGTCCAGGCTTTAGAAAGGATGAGGTGGAGATCTGGAGGGTGGGGGAGAGTGCAGACCCTCGAGAGGGTCCAGAGGATGAAAGGCACATGGTAGAGGGGAGCAGAAAGACCCGGCATGGCCCTGAGGCAGTCCCCCCACATCTGTCCTCCTTGCCAGCCCCTGGCGGCGAAACGAACTGAGATTGAGAAGTGGCGGAAAGAGTTTAAGGAGCAGTGGACGAAAGAGCAGAAGCGGATGGTGAGGCCTTGGCAGGGTGGGTGGGTGCACACCTGCTGGGCTGACAGAGTAGAGGAAGAGGTGCTGATGGGTCCCCTTCTGTCCCTGCCCCCACCCCCCACGGCCCCAGAATGATGCAGTGCAGGCGCTGCGGAGGGCCCAGCTCCAGTATGTACAGCGCAGCGAGGACCTGTGGGTTCGCTCCCAGGCGTCCCCCGAGGACCCGGCACCCCAGGCCTCCCCAGGGCCCAGCAAACAGCAGGAGCGGCGGCGGCGATCTCGAGAGGAGGCCCAGGCCAAGGTGGGGACCTAGCCCCATACCCGGCCAGAGCTGCAACTCACCCCGCCCCACACTCTGTCCCACATGTGCCCTGGCCTGGTCTTCCCAGGTGCAGGAGGCCATGGCGCTGTACCAGATGTGCGTCCGCGAGGCCAACGCGCGGCAGCAAGACCTAGAGGCCGCCAAACAGCGGATCGTGTCACACGTGCGCAAGCTGGTGCTGCAGGGGGACGAAGTGCTGAGGCGGGTGAGACCCTTTCCCACTGCCACCCCACATTCTCCTTGGGCCCCAGTTGAAGGCCCTCTGCCCCTAACCCATCCCCAGGGCCTAGGACTCCTTCTCCCTAGGCGGCCAGTTTCCACCCTCAGTCCCTGACCACACGTCAGCCTCGGCGCCACCCGTATGGGGTCCTGTCTCCCTCTTCCCCCTCCTCCAGGTCAGGCTCTGACCAGGATCCCCCAGCTGCTACTCATTGCTCGCCCCGCCCCCAAACCCTGGCCGCAATGGCGACTCTAAAGGTCAGGCTCCGCCCCTCTGACTGCAGTTGGTCCTTCCCTCCCCTGCCCGGCTCCCCCCACCCCCGCCCCGCCCTGCTGCAGGTGACCCTGGGACTGTTCAGGCTCCGAGGGGCGCAGGCAGAGCGGGGACCCCGCGCCTTCTCCGCCCTGGCCGAGTGCTGCGAGCCCTTCGAGCCCGGCCAGCGCTACCAGGAGTTCGTGAGGGTGCTGCAGCCCGAGGCCCCGCCACCCCCTCCGCCGGCTTTCTCCTTCCAGGAGTTCGTGCCCGCTGCGCACAGGTGGGCCTCCCTCGGGGAACAGGGTCAGGAATGAGCCCCAGAGACAGTTGCAGGCTGTTGGCACCACAGGTTGAGTACTTGGGGGTCAGAAAACTCAAAGCCTCATTTCTTGGATTTGGTTGCCAAAGCGCTTTTGGGGGTGGGTATTCCAGTTCTGGGAGAGGCTGAACTTTAGGGTCACTGAACTGGGTGCTCACTGGTGTCAAGGCTTCCAGACACAAGTGCTTCGAGTTGGGTCCTCCTAGACGCAATGCACAGGTGTTGTCATCCCAGGGCAGTTTCCTGGTCACCAGAGCCCTCAAACCTCTCCTTTCAGCTCTCCTCTGGACGCAAGAAAGAAGCTCTCCTGCCCCCCACCACCACGGCTGGATGAAAGTGCCTCGGAGGCAGGCCCCTGGGAGGATGCAGGCACAGGCTGGCAGGGTGAGCACAGTGAGAGGGAGGCACGAGTGGTGCCGGGGCAGGGGTCCATCCTAATTGACCTATTCCGTCCTAGGAACTCCAGGCCCAACTCCCGGTGGTGATGCGGACAGTGTGGGTGGTGGCAGCGAGTCCCGGTCCCTGGACTCTCCCACTTCCAGCCCAGGTGGGGCTAGGAGCTGGCCCTAACCCTCCTCCAGTCCCCAGTCCCCGACCAGACTCTGACTTTCCATCTCTAACCTTTCAGTTGACCTTTGACTTACCTGCATCCCTGACCTATTTTCCTCACCCTCTGATCCATTCTCTTGAGCCAGCTTCTGAACCACCCCCCAGATTGCTGACCTGTTCTCCATCCCCCGTCACTGACCTGACTTTCCTCCTGACCTCTGACCCTTTCCCCAAGGGCATCTGTGGGTGGTTCTGGAAAGCCTAAAAACCAGGAATATCTCCTTAGCCCTGGAGCTTCCCCACGACCCCTGTGACCCCCGACCTCTGTGACCCTCTGACTCTAGGCTCTGGCACAAGGCGGTTGGTGAAGTTCTCATCCATAGGCACCGAGTCCTCAGATGACTTTGAAGAGCGAGACCCTGGTAAGGCTGGAAGCAAATCGGGTGTGGTGAGGGGTGGGCGGTGGACCAGACACCCCTGACCCTGTGTCCCCGCAGACCTGGTAGATGGGCTGGAGAATGGCCTAGGAAGCCCCTTCAGGAAGTGGACGCTGTCCAATGCGGCCCAGACCCACCGGCTGCGGCGGCTCCGGGGCCCAGCCAAGTGCCGCGAGTGTGACGCCTTCATGGTCAGCGGGACCGAGTGCGAGGAGGTGTGGCCTGGGCCCATCAACCAATGACCTCTTCTGACCCCAGTGGACCTCCCTGACCCCAGGCACTTCCCTGACCTGAAATCCCTATGCCCCTTCTGCCATTAGGACATGCCCTGATATAAGGATGTCCTATGAGTCTCCCCCACTCCCCAGAGGATCCCTATGACCTCCCTGCTCCTGCTGATCCCTGCTGACCTCCCAACCCTGTGACATTCCCTTCAGTGCTTTCTGACCTGCCACAAGCGCTGCCTGGAGACTCTACTGATCCTCTGTGGACATAGGCGGCTCCCAGCCCGGACCCCCCTCTTTGGGGTTGACTTCCTGCAGCTGCCCAGGGACTTCCCGGAGGAGGTGCCCTTTGTGATCACCAGGTGCACAACCGAGATAGAACAGCGTGCCCTGGGTGTGCAGGTGCTGCCCTGATTCTTGACCACCTCCAGTAGTGACCCAGCACTCCTGACGGCCAGTTGGTAAGCCGGATGTTTGTCTCCTACCCCTGCCCTACAGGGCATTTACCGGGTCAGTGGGTCCCGGGTCCGCGTGGAGCGGCTGTGCCAGGCTTTTGAGAATGGTCGAGCATTGGTGGACATGTCAGGAAACTCGCCTCATGATGTCTCGAGTGTTCTCAAGAGATTCCTCCAGGAGGTGGGTACTCAGCGGCTCGGGGGGAGGGGCTGGGCGGGCTTAGGCTGAGGACCCTCTGCAGCCCACCCACACCCATGTCCCTCCCGCCATTCCACCCCCAGCTCACTGCCCCCGTGGTCCCCTTCCACCTCTACGACGCCTTCATCTCTCTGGCTAAGACCCTGCATGCAGACCCGGGGCACGACCCTGGGACCCCCAGCCCCAGCCCTGAGGTAATCCGCTCGCTGAAGACCCTCTTGGTGCAGCTGCCTGACTCTAACTACAGCACCCTGCGGCACCTGGTGGCCCATCTCTTCAGGTGTGCACTGTCCCCGACCTTGAAATGTGACTTCTGACCCAAGGCACGGATCTGTGACCCCGTCCGTGGACATAACTACTGACCTCTGGGACTGATCCCTGATGCTGACTTCTGATCTTTGCATGTGTTTTCTGAGCTCTGTATTTTAATATGTGACTCTAGACTTTGGGTGCTGACCCCAAACTCCACTGCCAGGCAGGTAGCTGCTGGTCTCAAACAATGACTGGGACACTTAGCCATGACTGGGGCGGGTTGCCATGAGCCTGGCCTACGGCTCCTCTCTGACAGCCAGTGACCACATATTCTGTGCTCTGATCTTTTTCCTCATACCATCCCCAGGGTGGCTGCACAGTTTGAGGAAAACAAGATGTCTGCCAACAACCTGGGCATTGTGTTTGGCCCAACATTGCTGCGGCCACCGGATGGTCCCAGGACAGCTGGTGCCGGCCCTGTCACCTGCCTACTAGACTCTGGGCACCAGGCCCAGCTCATTGAGTTCCTCATTGTATACTACGAGCAAATCTTTGGGATGGACGACCTCCCCATGGCCACTGAGCCCCTGCCCCAAGACCCCAGTCCAGCCCCCGGACCTCTCCTAAACAACAACCCCCAGCCACCACCCTCTGACCTTGCTCCAGATCCCCTGCCCCCAGTCCTAGCATCAGACCCCGACCCAGACCCTGAGCCCCACGGTACCTTGGAGAAGCATCCTGAGGCCACACCTCCTGAGGTAGGAACCCACTGGGCCCATAGACATGGGGAGGGCCTTCTTTCCATTTAATCTTCTCTCTCTCCCATCTTCCTTCCATCACTTTGCCTTTAAACTTTCCTCTTTCATTCCCTCTCTCCCTAAAAGTGAGGAATGGAGTGGTAGGTGATAACAATGGAAATAATAATGAAGGAATGACAGGGTACAGCTCTGCAGAGTTACTAACATAGGTGATCATTTATTCCTGCAACAGAATATTTCTTGAACATATTCTATGTACCAAGCACTGTTGTAGCAGGCATTACAAATACAGCAGTGAGTAAATTATTCAGAGACCCCATCCTTTTGGTGACTGCATTCTACTGGGAAAGAAACCAACAACAAATAAGAAATATGGTATAATGTCAGTTCGTAGGACATTACAAGGTGACAAGTACTATGGAGAAGAAAAGAAAGGGTAGTGCAAGGTAAGAGACATGGAGGGGCACCAAGGAGAGGTGGAGAGCAGTGTGTAGCAGTAAATAGGATGCTGTGGCCAGGTCTCCTGGAAAAGGTAGATTTGAGCAAAGACTGGAAAGATGTGGGGGAGGATTGAGCCAGGTGGAGATCTGGGGAAGGGGATTTCCGAAGGGAATAGTCAGTGCAAAGGCCCTGAGGTGAGAGCATGCCTGATGTGTTTAAGGTGCAGCCCCAAGCTGTAATGAATTAGTGAAGAGAAGGTGGTAGAAAGTGAGGCCAAAGAGGGGTCTGTGGAATGCCATGCACCACGCACCTACTATGTATGGGCATTTTATAGGCCTCCTATTATCATTACCACAGCCCTGAGAGGTAGATACTGTTAGTGAAAACCATTTACAGATGAGACTCCTACTGGTGGCTTCCCTGTCCCTCAGATCCTGCTACACACAACATTCCGGAGAGCCTGCACCTCCCCCGCACGGTGGCCCAGAGCTGGCAAAGGGGCTGTCAGTGAGTGCTGGGTCTCGGAGCCATGGAATGGCTCAAAAAGTGCTCAGGACATGTAGAAAGAACTCCAGCTGCTGTTAGCATTTAGCTAAAGGATCAAATGAAGGATATACAGATACATTGAAAAGCAGGTGTGCAGAGTTGCTGAGCAGAGTAGGGCGGAGACAGGTAGGTGACCTGCTACTCATGCGGACATGGCTAAGTCACTCCCTGGGCTGGCTGGCTGCTGAGCGAGGGTGTTCCTTCCCACATGAAGCCCATAGCTGAGATTAGTAATACTGCTCTTCATAAGGGGATAAGCAGGATTACTATAAAGGGCATTGTTACCCCAGATACCAAAACTGCCAAAGACCTTTTACATATCCAGGAACAAACCCTCAGCTTTCCAAGAATCTCAAAAAACTGGGATTTTATTGTTGGGGTTTTGGTCTTGGGTTTGTTCCTACAGATTCCAACTCCACAAAGTGACCAGAGAGACATGGTTGAGGACACCAGAGAGGAGGGAGGGGAAGGTAAGTATGTTGGGGGGCAGCCCAGGAGTTGTAGGGGTGTTCTTGCCTGGGGTGGCTGGCTGAGAGATGACTCCCAGGAGATATCCAGAGGACTTAGGGGTCCTCAACAATGACCATGCCATCCTGCAGTGTCCAGCCAAGGTCCAGAGGACTCACTGCTGGGGACACAATCCCGTGGTCACTTCAGCCGTCAGCCAGTGAAATATCCCCGGGGCGGCGTGCGGCCTGTCACCCACCAGCTGTCCAGCTTGGCCCAGGTAGCTTCCAAATTGAGCGAAGAGACCCCTGTTGCATCAGTGACCCGAGGGAGTTTGCGGAGGCGGGGACCTGGTCCTCTCACCTCCTCGCCTGAGGGCAGCCCTCTGCGCCGCACACCACTGCCCAAGCATTTTGAGATCACCCAGGAGACAGCCCGGCTCCTGTCCAAGCTACACAATGAAGCTGTGCCCAAGGCCACCTGTTGTCCAGACCCCCAACCTGAGGAAGTCGAGGACCATCTCTGACCATCCCAGCATTCTGACTGAGGAGTAAAGGACTGAGAGGGTGTTCAGTGTTGCGGGGGTGGGGGTGGAATCTGGAGAGTTTCTGTAAGGAAAGACTACATGGCCTGGGAGACTAAAATCCTTGTTGGGACAATATACCAGGATTCCCCCGACTAGACACAGGTCACTGCCCATTAGGGCCACTCAGGTTCAGAGGTGAGTTGGGGTCAGTACTCAGGGTCAATACAAGTCCTGGGATCCTTGGTGTCCACTGTAGTGTCTGACTCCTGAACAGGGCTGCCTTTTGCTACTTTGGATGTGGCCAGTCCCCCACTTCTGCCTACTTCCTTAGCTGACCTCCGGTGACCAGCTTTTGGAAGGTGTGGGCAGCCCGGACTCGACATCCTGGTGGTACCCGGGGTCTGATGACCTGGGAATAAACTGGGTCCCTTATACCCTTGAGTGTCTTTCTTTGCCAGGCGAGGCTGATGGGAGAGATAGGTGAGGGCCGCACCCTTTGACACCGTTTAACCCACCAGAGGAACCAAGGCCCCCTTTCATTCCCAAACATCCTTGAGCACCTACAGGTAGTACTGGCTGGGCCAGGACACCAGGCTGAGGCACACCCGCCCGGCCCTCCCGGAGCTCCAGTCCCCGATCCGGGCCTGCATAATCAAACAAATATAACAAAGTGCAGATAACCGGGACAATGGAGCTGTGTGCTCTGGGCCGTGGGAGCCCAGGGCCGGCACAAGCCGGGGCCGGGCAGGGGGCTGCGGGACCCGGGCCGGGGACGGAGGGCGCGGGGGCGGGATTTCGAGAAACTTAAGTGCGGCTCGAGGGTCAGCTGGGGCAGGAGAGGTCCGAGGGGCACCGCAGGCCGCAGCGCGGGGCATCTCAGTGCTGGAGAGGCGGAGGCGGGGCGGGGGTCCCGGCGGTGGGGGCCCAGTCGGATCAGGGCGTGGCTTGGAACTCGGCGACGGATTGGATGCCAGGGAGCGGGAGGGGTGGGGCCGGGCGGGGGCGCGGACCCTGAGACCACCCGGAGCTTCGCCCAGGCTGTCCGAGGTCACCGCGGGAATTCTGGTGCAGTGAGTGACTCAGCCCCCGGAAGGCTCGAAACTGCGTGCGTGTGAGGTGGGCGAGGACGGGGGCGGGGGTCCCGCGCCGGAAGTGGAGAGGGGCGACTGAGAGGCCGGGAGGAAATGAGGGGGGGGCTGCGGTTCCGGGAGACCTTGTCCTTACCGCGGCTGCGGGGGCTGGGCTCCCCCAGGTGGCGGAGACGGGGCGGGGCTCCCCTAGGTGGCGGGGGCGGGGCGCCGCGCCCAGGCAGGGGCAGGGGCGGGACCCCGCCTCCCGTGCTCTCTCTGCTGCCCGCGCCCAGCGCACCCGGACGCTCCTCCGTTCCTGCGGTGGACTCCAGGCTATGGGTCTGGGGCCTACCCCGACCCTCTGGGAGGCCGTCGGGTCTGCGGCGTGACAGGCGGCCCAGGTGAGGCGGGTACTGAAGGTGGTGGGTGGGCGCGGGTCCCGGGGAGGGAGCGGCACGTGCCTATGGGGCCTGGGCACCGCCCCCTCCTCCCCTCTGCCCCAGCTCCTCCTCCAGCCAGCCTAGGGGCGCCTGGAGGCCCGGCGGGCCACCGCCTCCCTGACCGCCCCCTTTGTCTGGGAGGCCGCCAGGGTCCTCTGTCCCACTCGTAATGCCCAGATGCCCCGCCCGCTTCGGGAGCTCTCGCGCCCAAACCCGCTGCCCAACTTCTGGGGCAGCATCGCTGTCCGCTCTGGTGGATCTGGTCCCTGATGTAGGAAAGAAGGATGACCAAGAAGGAATTCTTGAGACATCTTTGGTACAAAAGGTGGTTTTATTAAAGCTTGGGACAGGACCCATGGGCAGAAAGAGCTGCGCTGGGGTCTTGAGGATAAGTGGCCCATTATATACTCTCAAGTTGGGAGGGGGTTAGGGATAGCCTAAGTCTCTAAGGAATTCTGGAAGCAAGGTTCCCAAGACCTTGAGAGGGCTAGCTCTTGTTGAGAAAAGGTCATTTATTACCATCTAGTAAAACCTGAGTCATGGGACCCTTCCAATGTCTACTGGTGGGCCATATGCTTGGAAGATGATTGCCACCATGTATCTTGGGGAGTTGAGAGATAAAGGAAATTTCCAAAGGAATTTTTTATGTTAAAGCAGACTTACAGGATGTTGAGGTGGGGGGGATGGTGATTGGGCCAGGATTGCCTTTTGCCCTTAGCAAAGTATTAACATCAAGGCAGTTGAGTCCCTAGAAGAATGTCACTCTGCTTGTTTCGAAAACTTGTCAGTGGGCTATTGATAATAAGGAAATTTAATAATTTTTCTTCTGCCTTTGTTTCCCACATCATTCACCAGCACCGCTTTACCCTGAGGCATCTGAGTTTGAGACCCTTGCCCTTCCTGTCCTGACCCTCCCCTCTGGCTGCTGCTCCTTCCTGTGCCCTTCCAACAAATGCCACCTGCATTGACCTCTCCCTCTGTGCCCCCAGATGGCCACCATGGGCCGGTGCTACTACAATGAGACCATCGGCTTTTTCTACAACAACAGTGGCAAGGAGCTCAGCTCCCACTGGCGGCCCAAAGATGTGGTTGTGGTGGCCCTGGGGCTGACTGTCAGCGTGCTGGTGCTCCTGACTAACTTGCTGGTGATCGCAGCTATCGCCTCCAATCGCCGCTTCCACCAGCCCATTTACTACCTGCTCGGCAACCTGGCCGCAGCTGACCTCTTTGCAGGCGTGGCCTACCTCTTCCTCATGTTTCACACGGGCCCTCGCACCGCCAGGCTCTCGCTGGAGGGCTGGTTCGTGCGGCAGGGCCTGCTGGACACAAGCCTAACTGCCTCGGTGGCCACACTGCTAGCCATCGCCGTGGAGCGGCACCGCAGCGTGATGGCCGTGCAGCTGCACAGCCGCCTGCCCCGCGGCCGTGTTGTCCTGCTCATCGTGGGGGTGTGGGTGGCCGCGCTGGGCCTGGGGCTGCTGCCCGCCCACTCATGGCACTGCCTCTGCGCCCTGGACCGCTGCTCACGCATGGCCCCTCTGCTCAGCCGCTCCTACCTGGCTGTCTGGGCACTGTCCAGCCTGCTTGTCTTCCTGCTCATGGTGGCTGTCTATACCCGCATTTTCTTCTACGTGAGGCGGAGGGTGCAGCGTATGGCAGAGCACGTCAGCTGCCACCCCCGCTACCGAGAGACCACACTCAGCCTAGTCAAGACCGTTGTCATTATCCTGGGTGAGTGAGGGCCCTTCCGCTGGCCCAGGGTTGCCAGAACCCTGCTGCCCTCCCCCTCCCCACCCCAACTCCCATGAGACACGGGAGGGGATCATTTGGGTGGGGAATGTTCTCCAAGGAGGTGACATCTGAGCAGAGACCTGAATGCTGGGGAAGGGAAGAGTTCCAGGCAGAGGGAACAGAAGGTGAGAGCCCTGCAGGACCGGGCCAGTGCCTCCAAAGAGGAGAGGAGGCCCGTGTGGCTGGAGAGAAGCAGGAGAGAAGGTCAGCACCGCCTCGAAGGGCACAGGCAAGAGTCAGATTTTGTTTTGAGTTCTGTGGGAAGCCCTCCAGAGTTCTTAGCCGGGAGTGATGAGGTCAGTCCGGCTGGAGAGGGGTCTGAGTCGGGGAGGCAGCAAGGTATATCCCATGTGGATACACTCCCTACCCCACCAAGAACAAGGAGTGAGTCTTCCCTATGAGCCCCTCTTCCCCCCCCAAGTAACTGGCCTGTCCCACAGTGACCTCCTTTCCCCCATAGAACAAATCTCCATGTAGAAGGGTCCAGCGCCCTGTCTAGTGTACCTGTTAGGAAAGGTATCCCTTTCTGGCAGACACATCAGACAAGGGTGTCAGGCCCTGCAAGTTTGGGCCTGACACTCCAGCCCTGAGCTCAGAGCTGGGGGTGCTGGGCCCCCAGAACCAGCCCCACTCACCTTGGGCCCCATCCTGCAGGAGCATTCGTGGTCTGCTGGACACCAGGCCAGGTGGTGCTGCTCCTGGATGGTCTAGGCTGCAAGTCCTGCAACGTTCTGGCCGTGGAGAAGTATTTCCTACTCTTGGCAGAGGCCAACTCACTGGTCAACGCTGTGGTGTACTCATGCCGAGACGCTGAGATGCGTCGCACCTTCCGCCGCCTCCTCTGCTGTCTGTGCCTTCGCCGGTCGCCCCACGAGTCTGCCCGCTATGCTCCCTCTACCCGAACAGGGGCCAGCACGCGCATCATGCTTCCAGAGAACGGCCACCCCCTGATGGACTCCACCCTGTAGCCAGCCTGGGACTTCAGTGCGCTGAGGCAAATGCCCTATTAGAGCCCCCCGTCTGCTTGTAAATGCACCGGGCTCGACCTGAGCTGCAGGACAGACCCTCAGTCCGCCTGGCACAGCTCCCCTGCCAGCCTTCCCTGGGCTCATGGCTCTGCCTGACGTAGGGCCTCAGGGCGTGGGGTCATCTTGGAATGCGCAGGAGACAGTCAGAGGGGGTTCAGGAATCTGTTCTTCAATCATCTCATGCCATGGGGTTTTTTAACTGACATTTTCTGGTTTTACTGCCCATCCCTGGTAAACTCTGTGGACCACTTCCTTGTCCGTGGCGGTGTGGGTGTTAGACCGGGGAGAGGAGGGCTGTCTCAGGCCACTTTGCCCAGTGCGACAGGGTAATGAGGCTCGCCCAGGGATGCACCATCTGCCCGAAGCTGATTCTTTAGGGGCATGGACTGAGGGGTGCTGAGCATGAGCTAGGAAAAGATTTGTGGCCTCTTGGAGCTTCTGGGGTCTTGCCTGTCCCAATTAGAATTGAGGGGGGTCTGTGGGGAGAGCATGATACAAGGAGTAAACCTTTCTTTCCACTGAGGTCTCCAGAGCATTTTCTGTCATCAAGTCAGATAGTCCATCTGTCCCTGTGTCCCAGAATTGTCCAGCTCAGCTCAGGCTATGCTAGGATCTTTTCAGCCCTGTTCTCTTTCCTCTTTGATCACTGCATGGCTGTTTTTCTCTCTCTCTCTTTCCCTTTAAATCCTATACACAACACGGGACTCGACCTCACAACCTTGAGATCAAAAGTGGCTTGATCTGACTGAGCCTCTCCATCTCTCCTTTTGGAGGTCTTGCATCCATTCTGTGTGTTCCCCTGCCTCTAACTCACCACCCCTATCTGTCTCTGTCCTCTGGAGCCCACAGTGGTCTCTGACCTGTGTGAGCCGTCTTTCTCCTGCCTGCCCTCTCACCTGGGTCCAGGTTATTAATTGTCAGCCGTTAATAACTAGGTGTAGGTCTACCCCTACACCTAGATTCATCCATACCTACAGGCCAAAGGAAGTGGAGCCTGTGGAGCAGGAAGTAGGATTTGAGAGCTGCCATTTCTCAAGCTCCTCGGATGTGCCTGGCACACTGATAAGCACTGTAGGTACATTATTTAATCATTACTTGCATCTTG